AGCGAATCAACCAAACATTAATATCCCTCATTTACATCTTGGAATATAAGCAGGGTAGGATGGCTTAAATAGCAAAATAGACTTGACCTTGACACTAATATTTCAACTCACTTAGACGCATCCTCAAGTCTCTCCGCCGTGCCATGCTCGGCGTATGCCTATGTCCTTTATGGATAGCCGACCTTTGCAATTTAGTGTCACATGCCTTATCCACGGCAATCAACTCATCTCGAGTAGCTTTGATCTCGGTCTGAGGCGCCTCTGCTTCTTCAGCGGACTCGTTCTCGCAGATCCACCAACCTGACAGCGGCTGGATAGCATGCATTTCTGCGTCCCAAGAAGAAGTCGCCGCCCTTCTCTCCCGGGCAATGTAGGGATAGATGGAACGGGCCTGGATCCCCACGGAGCCGGCTATCATGGTGCAGTTAAACTCACGTCCGTTGTCGTTGACCTTGACGGGCACGGAGCAGAACCCGGCTGGAATGTTTTTTGAGTCAATCACGGCGTGCCATGTACCGTTGCGACACTTGCGCGATAGCTGTGCTTCCCCCTTTTCGTTCCAGAAACAAAAGGCCGCGATCCACCCAGAATACGTACAGAGTCCGCTCATTTGATGTTTATCCGCGACGCTGTTCCAGAATCGGATCACGGCCGGACTAGACGGCTCTGTGAAGGAGAGGACCATGTTTCGCAGGATCGGCTTCAACATGTCTGCAAATTGCCCTGGCTCCTCTCCCAGCTGCGCTAGCTTGTCCAACCTAGAAAGGATATCCTCCCAGTCTGCGACTTCACCAAGAAGTGTTACAGACGGAATACCGCAGAGCATGCGAATAGTATAGGAGAAGTACTTTTGCATAGCCCCCATGAACAAGACAGAGGCAACGGCAATGTCGGTCTGCGACGTCGTGGAGAAGGACGGCATAACCCAGGTGCGCAGCTCCGGGTCCTTGACGTTCTTGGCCATCAAATGCGTCATTGCGCCAGCAATAGCGCCAAAGTCTACCGTTTCCGTAGAGCCGTACACGTCGATTATCAGTTCCTTCTTCCCCTCGTGCTCGACGAAGAATGATCGAAGACTCTCGGCGTGGGCTTTCACGTAGAAGCCGACCTGGGTTATAATGGCGAACCACACGTCTTCTGGTCGTATGGACAGATGATGGTGCGAGCTGTATGCCTTGATTGCTGCCCACACGAATCCATTGGGACTCGAGGACGTGTGATTTTCCCCGAGCAGACGGCCACCAAAGGAGCTCTGAATGACTCTGCTTGTTCTCTGGTGCTCCTTGGGACTGACCAACTCGAGGAGTTTCTCAGAAGTGCCAACTCTAGAGGAGCGCCAGTTTTCGGCGGCATGATTGACAATGTTTAGCGTGACGGGCATTGCGAATGGCTGACGATGAAGTTGAAAGGGGGCTCGATATAGTATTGGAATTATGTGGAAGAATCAATGGTCAAGAGATTCTATGCCGTCTCCTCGACGTGGTGTCAACCATTTATATCCCGCCAGCGTGGTTACAGAAAGCTTCAGAACGAGGCTGTGTCGGTGATGACGCCACCCCGTGCCGTGAATCCCGAAGCCCATGGCGTAGCATCATGTCACTCACATGCAGCCTTGTCGGGAATTTCTTATCGGGCCGTAAGGCAGACAGCATCACTGTGTGAGGGTAGTTATCGTGATTAAGAGCCATGTGTCATGCTGAGTGTGGAAAAGTCCTTGGATTGAAGCCATCTAGGTCTGCGACATGAGGGCTTCTGAAACCAGGTCCTTGATTCGTGCCGTTTTTGGTACAACGCTCGTGATACCCTGGTTGACCTGTAAAAGATGTATAAACCATGGTATACTTGTAAATTAAAGTATACATAATCAACTCCTTTATACAAACCTGAGGCTTTTGAATAAATTATCTAGCTAGTGCGCATGCTAATGTGTAATGTCGATATACCTAGTGCAGAGAACATGGACACAATACCGAGTACAGAGTAGATGGAACTGGAACCACACCGCCGGTTGAGGCATTGAAGACAGTTTATGCTGCCAATACACAGCACTGGTTGGCCATAGATAAGATCCGTGTATCTGCAGCTTCTCCAGCCCCCGGTGTCACCTTGGAAGGCCTCGACCCGGTCCATGTCTCTTCAACCTGACGTCGGACTGCTGCAGCCTGTGAGCGTTTTACGGCCTCGGCGTAGCTTGGAGGCCTCTCTGGCTTACAGAGTTCTGTGTTCCGCCGCGACGTTCAACACCATGTGCGTATCCTCTTCAGGCCGGCTGAATATCCATCATTACAACCACCGGGCCATGAGGTAGCAGATCTCAAATGCGTGTTTTGGTAACACCTGACTGGTAATCTACTGGGGCGGCTTATAAATGAACCACCACTCCTGTCGCCTTAATGCCACAAATATACTCAAATTAGACACCACAGTGGAAGTACTGCCCCTATTGCCTTATGAGAGCAGCTACAACGTCTTACATGCTCAAGTCTAGTTCACCGGTCCGCCTGTGTAGAAAGTGTAGCAGTTACACGTGGACGTAGAACATCTCGTGTCAAAAGATGTAGGGCGAGCCTCACGCGGTGCCATGCCCAAAACCGTCCCGCAGTTTGTAGCCATGGACATTCCATAGTTGTCGCCCATCACCAAGTACTCAGGCCGACTTTTTTGGCTGGCCGCGTTGGCTTGGATCTGGCCAAATCCACGGCAGAATACGGTAGTGTCTCTGACGATGCCAGACGCTATTTTTGTTGCGCCAAGCGGGAAAATTGGCCGCGAGGGTCGGATTGAACATGGCAGCGTGAGCAGCTTGGTGATGGGTAAAGCTGAATGACGGCACGTCTCACGGGGGACGAGGGAACATGGCTTGCTGCGTCACTGAAGCCCAAGCGTTAGCGGTAGGCGGCTTCTCGCATTCCCTCTCCTATAGAATGTACGTATGTAGTCGGGCGAGGAAGAGAGGCCGCCAAAGCAGAAGTAACCATAAGAGGCAGAAGGCAACCATGGCGTCGTGGCTGACTTGTAGTTATCAATCCACCAGATGATGGCGGCACTCTTCCGAATCGCACACGGCATATACATATTGTGACGTCCAATCAAGAATTGCACGTGTTATTTAAAGTGACATTGAACCCATGGCACCTGTGGACGGCTCGGAGGCCGTTGGGCCGCCGCTGTCATGGTCTATGTGCTACATGCATACCTTGCTAGGATCAATACAGCAATTGATCTTCTTCTGCGATAGTTTTGCCTGGCTGGCTAGTGCAACTTGACCATCTACGTGGCCATTGTCCTCACAGCCATGCAGGTCGGGCTCGCAACAACCGAAGTGAGCAATATTAATGCCGTCAGTCAGAAGCTGGCAAATGCATCGTTCCGATCAACCGTCGGAGGTTTGCCGAGATCCGCCAATGGTAAGTTCAATGTAACTCTAGTAAATCAGATGGACCAAACTAGCGCATTTTAGGAAGTTTCCCTGAGGATCTGCGTAAGCGGGGTAATATTTAACTAGAAACTAGGCACTGGGGCTATATATAACCTTTTTATTAGAAATATCTGCGCCCAAAGATTCGCTAACGAATAGACTGATAGGCTACATAGGTGTTCAAGAAGAAGAAATGGTATATATTAGCTTACCTGAGCTTCCTGGTTTCTGGTTTGCTACAGGCTACAGAGCCTGTACAGAGAGCGCCTTTTGGTCCATGTCTTTAACCCAACATTGGAGTGGGAACCCGCCAGGCCACTCATTTCCGGTGCTTGTCACCCCAAGAGCGAAGTGGACGAATTGGATGACATCTTGATGCCGACATGTAGCTACGGTATACATTGACTTGGCCGGTTCTGCTACCCCTCACTGCAACGTGAGTTGTCATCTTCTCTTATTGACCGCTGTGATTATTATGCACGGGAACTTGGGAAGTCATGTCGGGTGTAACTCTCCAGTCTGAGAAAACACCAAGTCCACCTATCAAATTATGCCACGCCTAATACAACTAAAGTCAGCTTCATAACTTCGGCCCAGGGTCTTCCAGGTCTGCACAAAGGGACGCTGAAACCAACAGGTTGGCACGTATAAGCTGAGAACACGTCCGATTATTCCCCTCCATTATCATCGGGTAACGCAGGCCGTATAGAAGCACATCCTTGAATCATGTCTCTGGCTATACACGCCCTTTTCCTGGTTCAGTCATGGGAGACTATCTCCACCAATACGCCACTGGAATACGCAACTGGCGGCGTGGCGTTTATTCCAGTGAGGAAACTGCGTCACTCTAGAACCTATATTGTTGGGATTACAAGGCAATTGCCGAGAGATCTCAGCGCCTTGGGCAGGGAGACCTCGAGATAGACTACATCTTCTAGACAGTACGGCCTATAGCTCTGGCACTATAGGATAACACGAACTCTTGTCTTTGCATCGGGTATAGAGGATCAAGAACGGCAACCGTAGCCTCCACAGCCTTGCGTGGCGGCCAACAGCGTCTCGGGTTCTAGACGGGCATATGGATTGGAAAGTTGAGTTATACCAGCGTTCCCATCAGGGCACAGAGTCCAGACGAGCTCGACTTGTTTCTGGTATATGGTCCAGTCCCAAACAGAGGACAAGCCTCCTCGTGTTCACGAAGCGCTTGACGCCAAGTGCCTTACCGCGTGTAACCTGGACAGTCGCACTTAGCGATGATATGCTCATGTTTGTCGTATATATGAGTCTTCAAGGTTCCCCGTTTAGTTGCGCAAAACTCGCACCCGGGCCAGGTGCAGGGCTACTCGCGCCATTTCCACTATGAGTACTTGGGCTAAAACTACTTTATGGAGAGGCAAAAATCACGGGGTCCAGAGTTGAGACTCTTGGAATACATGTGCCACTATATTTCGACATGCTGCGAGAAGTCTAGCGAGGGAGTGATTACCTGGGTAGTTGTGAGATTAAGCAAAAAAATGATGACATACAACACTGGGTATTCGCTGGTCGTCACCGACCCAACTACTAATCCAGCGCTCGCTAGGTTATCGTACGAGATCAGACGGGATCGTGAGTGCTGCTAGCGGCTATGGTCGTATGTGCTAGACTTGCTGTTTGCCCGCCCTATAAATCGTTAGCGTAGTGGTGGATTCAAAAAATTTAAGAGGGGCCCTAGAGCAAAAAACATACAACACCGGGTATTCGCTGGTCGTCACCGACCCAACTACTAATCCGGCGCTCGCTAGGTTATCGTACGAGATCGGACGGGACACCGCCTCCGAAATGTGAACTCGCCCGACCTTTACCCGAAACGCCCGCCCAGACCCGCTTTTCCCGTCCTCTCCGTTTCCCCATCCTGCCACCGTTTTGGCTCTCTGTCCCGGCTTTCCACTCCGATACCGAAGCGCCGGGCAATGGACGACCGCACGCCGCGTCGTAATACACACCCTCATGTTGCCTGTTTTCGACACTGGCATTCGCATGAAAATCCTCGCCAGGCTCTGGGGGGAGGCGCCCGACGCCGCCAACCCCTTCCTCTCCCCCTGGTTTTATCGACAAGTCTTTTTCTACATTGGTCCTGTCGCAGGTCCATGTTCAGTCCGCCCTGGCGTTAATGTGCCGTGTTGGTCAGCTCGTGATTATCCCACCTGAGAATGCCTACGTGTACTGCAGGGCCCCATTGGCCTGCTTGAGTTCAAGTGATGGGCTGACTAGATAAAATGCCTCTCCCCCTTTCATTTGTCCTTGGGCGGTTTGGCGTCCATGACATTCAGTCCTCTGCCCCCTTTTCTCACTCACCTGTGCTGCCACTAAAGCTGCCTTCGCTCACTTTACCATCATGCCCCGAGATACGAAATCTTCGCTTCGTTTTGCCCGTCCAAGTGTGCGTCAATTTAACAAAGATGCCGCTAAGGCTGCGGTGCAGAAGTATCAGGAGAAGCCGCTCAGTGAGGTTTGCCGCCTTGACCCAAAAACGAGGCAGCGTCGCGAGAGGATCTGGCAGAACTGGGAAGAGTGAGGCATCCCCCTCTTCTCTCTGTTCCTAGGGAAAAGAGCTGTTGCTAATTTTATTTCTTGTAGATTCGCTGCCTGTGCTGAGGTCGATCCGGTTAATATATGGTTTGACCTTTGCCTAGGCAAACCAGAAGTTCAAGCCTTCTTCCAAGGATTTCTCAGACAGTACTGGGAGCAGTCTGTTACATGGCGTCCTTGCCTTGACCCCGAGGAATACGAGGAAGTACACACTATTAATTGCGCGTCAACAATAGAAGATGTATGGTGTTTGCTGGTTAATCATGCGGACGATCGGATCATGAAACCAAAAAGGCTCAAAGATCGAGAGAATGCCGGAATCTGGTCGTTGAAGTATGCTTCTAGGAGGACTTCGTCGACCTGCAGCCCTACTTATGAGATAGCTCGTGTGAGTTCTTAGCCCCTTTTCTTATTATTAATGATGGGCTTCTCTAATTATTAACTAACTATAGTGGATTCCCGAGTTTGGCACAGAAGTGGGATTAAACTTGGGGCAGACTTTTCAAAAAGACGGCGCGACCACAGACGATATTTTAACTATTCTTTCCACTGTATGGAAGAAAGCGGATGACATTAGATGTTCACCTGACGATAGACTCTCTTTCACCATGTACGTTGTCGAGATGGGCCTAGGAGGTTGGCGGCCAGGCGCGTTAGAACTGAAAAAGTATAATCACGTAACGCTCGCGTGGGTCAGAGATCCGGTTAACCCGTCCATTACGCGGACCATATGCTGGTCTAAGGTTGATCATAACAAGCTCCGACGGCTCAGAATCGAGCGAGAACAGCGTTCAAGGTATATATCCCCTATAATTTGATCCATTACTTGTTAAGGAAAGGGAAAAGATAAGCTAACGTGCGGCATTCGTGCTACATAGCTTGAGCTACGCACTCTCCGTGGTTCCAACGTTAAGCCTATGCTTAACCACTATGTTTACAGTCCGAGCAATAAGGGATAACGCCTTTGAGGCTGGCTTTACGACCTGTGACGAAGTACTTAACCCTGGAACACTCGAGGAGGGCGTCGACTTCGTAGAGTTGCGCTGGAAAGAGGAGTTTATGGGTGATGATAAGCATATTATGCCAATGAATTATCGCAGATTTCTTGATCTTTGGAACGAAGTGCGAATGGTATTGGGATCCCGATCTGGCCTCCGTCCCTACTCAGTTCGTGTTGGCGCGGTGGGTAGATTAGATGGTAAGTTGCCTTTACATCAGAACGCCTTCTTGCCTCTAATCATTTATCCACAGGATGTCTTCAACCGGCACTTAGAAACTTTATAGTATCGCATTCCACAGAGGTCTTCGAGCGAAGTTATCAGCAAGTTAGAATACGTGCGAACCTGGCGAATATCGCATTTGGCGACAAGGCAAGACATGACGCAGCGCTTTGGGAAGCCATCTCCAATAGCTTCCATAATCGGGACCCGAACGCGCCTACACGTCTGTCAAAAAAAGAACTTGACCAATTTGAATCGAGAAAAGACATAACAGAGCTTCGCAAGGAGCTGAGACACATCACTGCCCAAGAAGGGTCATCTAGTCAAGAAGCAAAGAAAGTCTCATCGCGAATTAGATATATTCTAGACTGCCTAGAGAAGCTACAAGTTCAGCAAAAGCGCCGCAAGTACTTTGAGGAAGCAGACAAGTTGCGAGCAATGAACCAATCGACAACACATCTCAAACAAGAGGTGCAAAATTTAAAGAGAAAGAGGTTCGGGAATAGCAGTGCCTACGCTGCCAAGCTGGCTGGTCTTTTATTCCAAACAAACATCACCTCCGGCCTAGCCGACCGTCTTGTCGCTTATATAAGCGGAGCAAGCGGTCAGAGTGAGATTGGGGATATTTATTCTTTGGGAAAGAAATCGAAGGAACCCGCGCGATGTCTCTTTGGCTGTGGAACCTTCTTTAACACGTCAGCGCTCACAAGACATGTTCGCCATCTACACATGCATGTCTTTAAGGCCCGGTTCTTGTGCCCCGAGTGCAAGCGGATGAACCTTGGAGATGTGGTGATTGAGGCGAATCCTTGTGCCTGGAGTAGCCATGTTCGAAGAGTCCATGGCGCGGCTCACACCCCCAACCTAGAGTCTTTACCGGATGTTCTCTGCCTCTTATGCGACCAACAATACAAACAGAGAGGGTTCTCTCGCCACCTGAACACTCATAGTGAGCTGTTTGACGAGCCAATCTCATGTCCAGCATGCCTACAAGAGGGCAGGAAGGTCGAAATCGAGGGCATGGGAGGCTGGATCACCCACGTAGCAGACGTTCACGGAGGTGGCAGAGTTCTCGGAGCCATAGAGGTCTACAAGACCTCATGTTCAGATGCTGAAATCGCTTCAATAGACATAAACCCTGCCGAGGCGCAACACAGAAAAGAGCTTGCGAGAAGACGACAAGTGGATCGCAAGAGAAAGGCAGGTAACACTATACCATCGGCTCCCCTCCCGTATAAACGGGCGAAAACGGCCTCATCACACCCTTACGCACATGCTAGTGGTGACTCGGATTGGGAAATCTCATCACCGGATCCTCACGCGGATGAAGAGTTCTGGGTTGATGGAAGGGAGTAGTCAGCCTGGCCGTTTTTAAGGAGACCAAACGCATGACAAGAGATGGGTGATGAGTATAAAAGGGACCGTGCCCGCCCTTGAAGCTTAGCAAGAACTCAAAACTTTGTTCAATCTTACCTATAACTTATCATTCCCGGCCTACCTTTGCTCAACTGGCCTCCCCTCTACTCTTGTCGACAGAGCGCTGTTACCCTTCCGTCCATAAAGGGAGTTTGAACGTCCCTACCGGACTCCCCCCATTGATCTTCTCCGCATTCATCGTCTTAAGACGAACGCCAACTTCACCATGGTGAGAATGGATCGAATTACTTTGGAGAAGAATTATTCCTGGCCGTCCCCCACTCGCCGCCGTTCATTGCTACGATCCTTTGTCTCCGCAAAGGGGTCCTTCGCATCTCCAGCCGGGTCATCACCTATCAATGCAAGGCACTATGATTCTGTCCCCGGCATTGACCCGCAAAACTCTCGAGAACATCTTCAGTCCGTCTTTGACAGTGGTCTCGGAGGCTCCGACTTGGATTCACGAGATATGACATCGAGAACTGTTAGTCCAGAGACCGACTTGGAAGGTGCTACAAAACGTGTGGCGGACGATGAAGAGACTACTGGGAGGATCCAACGGAGTAATCAGAAGAGAAAGAAGAATACACCAAGAACCACTGGCTCTGGCGAATATCGTATTCAGAAGAAGCGCGCCTCGGTTAACAGAAGACAGGTTTTTGAGTACTCACGCTTAGGAGCGATCCGGGAAGGTGTCGACGGACGCATTCAGTTCAAGATTTGTTGGAGGCAACTTGGGGCACTCTTGAGGACCTCCGGGGAAGTCGGGCATTGAAAGAAGCTGAGGAGCTCATCGTCAATGAGTAGGACAAAGTTACGTGGGATGAGGAGATGGATAGGTCTGGTCGTCTTGCTTTAGATACAAGATCGAGTAGATAACATTAATGAATAGCCTGTTAGGCGCTATCTTATGTTTTTGAGTTTGCCTTCGCAGACAGTTTCTCCTGCAGTTGCTGTCGACCTACTTCATAAGCCGCGTTTCAGAACCAGACTGACCAACAAGCCAACAATCGACTCACGAGCATTTGGGTGACTTCCTAACCAGTTTGGGCGCATTCAAGAACCACGTGGAGAGAGTACATGGCGTAAAGCTGCGAAAGTAACCAGCGTCACGTGAGTCATCTCCGAATATCACTATCAATTAGCTATATGTTTAATAGTTCTCTATCACATTCTCCCCTTTGAATATTCACTTTTGTTTTTGCTTGCTTTCTTAATTTCGATCTTGTTTGTCTTGATACAGGTAGAATGGGTTGATCTAAAAATATGTGTGCCTGTATGTTTACAGGGATGTGCAAATTAATGAACTACATTGTCTCGAGTTACCTTGAGGCGGGTAGAAGATGATACAATGCTTTGAGAGGTCCTTGTTAGTCTTCAGTGTGAGCTATCGTGATGGTGATGCCGTTCAGCACTTGGATAGATGGCTCGAACCATCTCATCCAGTAGTCATGACGATTTCTGGGCGTCGGCATTGTCTAGCTTAGCAGGACATAGCTGTAACATGGTTTATTGCGCAAGAGAATTTGTAAACGCCTCGTAAAAAAGCTTGTTTTGTTGTGGCGTAGCCGCATCTCTTCCGGTCATGCTAACCACAGAGGCGAGTTCGCCACTCCTGTTTTTATCATGAGTAGGTAGCATAGCTCATAACACGTCAGAGATAATGTGTGGAATGTCGGAACGTTTAGACTATGCTTTGTATGTAGTCTCGTCTAACAACTGCATTCTCCCATATGCTTCTGTAAGTAAGCCATGGGATAACAGTCTTCTTGGGTCATCATGAGAAAGTATCTCACCCTCCAGAGTCACAATGCGCCCAAGTATCTCAATCGCATCCTTAGTGCGTCCGTCATCGAGGTATGCCCTTGCAAGTTTACGCTCTGACGTTAGTCGAGAATGGTCCTTCTCATCTAACGTCTCCTTCATAACTGCCACCACACGCTCGAATATCTCAATCGCATCCTTAATGCGTCCGTCATCGAGATATGCGCACGCAAGTCCGTGCTCTGATGCTAGACGATCATAGTCCTCCTCATCTAACGTCTCCTTCTTAACTGCCACCACACGCTCGAATATCTCAATCGCATCCTTAATGCGTCCGTCATCGAGGTAAGCGCTTGCAAGTGCGTTCTCTGATGCTAGCCGATCATGGTCCTTCTCATCTAACGTCTCCTTCATAACTGCCACCACACGCTCTAATATCTCAATCGCATCCTTAATGCGTCGGTCACTGAGGTATGCCCTTGCAAGTTCATGCTCTAGTACTAGTCGAGAATGGTCCTTGTCATCCAATATCTCCTTCTTAACTGCCACCACATGCTCGAATATCTCAATCGCATCCTTAATGCGTCCGTCATCGAGGTATGCCCTTGCAAGTTTACGCTCTGACGTTAGTCGAGAATGGTCCTTCTCATCTAACGTCTCCTTCATAACTGCCACCACACGCTCGAATATCTCAATCGCATCCTTAATGCGTCCGTCATCGAGGTATGCCCTTGCAAGTTTACGCTCTGACGTTAGTCGAGAATGGTCCTTCTCATCTAACGTCTCCTTCATAACTGCCACCACACGCTCGAATATCTCAATCGCATCCTTAATGCGTCCGTCAT